AGTTACCTAGAGGGATAATCCAAGTGAATTTATTACATTTATGTAACCTAGTTGCAAAAATTCTCTCTGCAGCAGAATCAAGCAGTATTGGGGAGCCAATGTTAATGTAAATTTCTGAATGTCTTGTTATTTTAGATGCTGTTTTCTTCACCATCTGAAAAGACTTACGAAGTCACATCCAAGCTCAAGCAGTGTTTAAGTGGCTTGTCTGGATTTCTTAGCCCTTCATGGTAGTGAGCATGAAGCCAAAGGCTCATGTGCCAATGGAAGCCTTCTTCTGCCATAGCAATATTGGTAGTTGGACCCTTTATCTTCTGTGTGCCACGTAAGGCCAGTGGCACTGAGGGAATGAAGTTAGTTCTTGGTGATAATTCTCAACCTTTCCAAAGGAAGGTCCCTTTTGGGCTTCAGTTGCATAATCTGATCCATAGCAATGATAAAACTCTCCAATGAGGAAGTATTGGCTGTGATATATGATGCTGTGTCATACGTAGCAACTTTGTGCAGGTTTTTCATTTACTTAAGGAAAAAAAGAGAGGCTTTTACTACAAGAAAGAAATAGGTCAAAACCAGTGACTAACAAATTTTATCAGGAATTTGAATAAATATATGTGTTTCCTTTTTAGATGGTCAGCCATCAGTGCAAGTATTTGATAAAACTCTCCAAATAAAGCAGATGCATGTGTTGGAAGCTCTGGATCTTTTGATTGCCCGAACAGACAAAGGTAGGAGGGGTCCCTGTTCTGTGATTCTCATATGAACGTGGCTGGTGCTGGGTATGTGTGTCTCATGAGGCAATCGTGTCTGACAAGGCTGAGTGTATTAGATGCCTCATTTAGAATAAGGGAGCACATACAGCAACTGCTGTTATTTTCTAAAAGGCAGGGCTGAGGGGGAATCCCTAAATGCTCATTCTTGCTTCCTTCAAGGCAAGCCTGAAACGGGTCATATGGTCGTTCTTCAGCTACTGTTGAAACTTGACACCCTTTGGAAATCTCCTTGAGTGAATTATATGTGGGGGAAATTACTTGTTCTGTCACTGTTTTACCGAATGTGTTTTATTGCTATTTATTCTGTTAACTGCCATCACATCCTAGTGCTATAGAATGTATTTTCTTGAAGGATCTGGTATAAAAGAACTTAAATGTTGTTTTGGATGACAACGTTTCCTTGTTATCCTCATTTGGAAGCATTAGCTGTGCATAAAATGTGCACTTTTTCAGTGAGGTACTTTTTACCCAATAGTCTGTGATTGAATTTCACAAAGTGAACATACACAAAGCAAGAACGGGATTTTATGTGTAACACAGAGAAAAAAATTGGTTTTTACCACATTATGTCTGTTTCATTGGGAGTTGCCCAGTTTGACTGCACCTGATGAAATTCACTCTGGGACCTTACAGAACTGGCTCAGACTACCAGAGAACCATTTGCAGTTCTCTCTCAAAACACCTGGGGGGTGGGTGAAGTTTCTGAAGATCGGAAACTGGTAGTTGTATCTGGAGCTTAGTTTGTGAAGGTTCTAGAAAAGATTATTACATTTAATTGTCAAAGCATTGTACTGTTTGGTAAACCTGAAGAGAGCAATGTAAGCAGGCATTTTAAGGTAACAGAACAAGGTATTGCTGTCATTGATTCATGACACTTCAAATACAGTCTGATAAAGTCTTACTCATGTAAAGAATTGCAGAGATTTTTAACTCTTTATATGGATGCTTTCTGAAGCATTTAGGAGAAAGTTCTTTCATACTTGCTAGAATTCTGGCCTGCTGTTTTGTATTTGCATACCATATTGAAATTAAGATCTGAGACAGAAGAAAAATCATACTTGCATTTAATTTTCAGACTATGCCTCAGCAGCAAATGTGAGAAAAATAATGAGTTGGATGAGCAAAAGCATCATCATACTGGGCTCATAAACTGGGTTCAAAGACTTTGTGGGCTTTTAGGATAAAATGTTATATGCTACAAGGTTAACTTTTTATTCTTAACTATCAGCAAGAGCTTCTTCAGGTCAGCATTCCAAGAGAAGGCATTGAACAAAGCACCAGTACAGTAGGTATCAATGACAGCAGCACAGATTGCTTTGATAGCAATGGCCTCTGTTCTAATGCAGACACGGTTAAATTTAACACTACAGTGGAGCTGTTTGGGATGTCTGCCGGTTAAATTTGTCCTAGTAATGAGAGTCAAGGCACAGAAATGGATCTGTTTTGTCCTCCAAACACACATTTTTTTATTCCAGCTTCATTTTGTGAAATGCCTGGACTTGAGGCAGAGGGGGGATGAGGAAGAGCTGCTTCACTTGAAAGAATCAAGTCTGTAGGTTAAGAAAAACTAAAAACGCTTGGATGACAGTCACTTTTACATGCAGCCACAGACAGGTCTGGCACTACAGTGGGGTGGTTTGGAACATCTGTAAAAGAACTAGTATTAAAAAAGAAGAGTGATGCATCCTAGAGGACACACTGGTTGAAGAGCCAGAGCTATTTTAAACAACAAAGAAAGGTGAAGATTTACGTCTGCTGAAAGGCAGGCTTACTGTAAACCTGTGGGATGCACATCTCATGGCCTATAGGAATTTAAACTCCAATTCATTTTTAGAAGCATATAAAACCAATTTCAATGAAGGCAGTAGTCATTGTTCTGCCTTCAGAGTGAAGTGCCTGCCTGGGAAAGAAGTTATCATGTATGTTGTTCTTTCCTGCACACTCATAGCATCTTCACAGAGGTAAATTTGGCATGTTTTATGGAAGTATAAAAGGTCTTCTGAAGTTTGGTGTTACCTCCAAAAATAACAGCATTTAATTTAGGTAGTAATGCTTGCTCCCCTCTGTGTCTGCCTGTTACAACCATTTATTGATTTGAAGAAGAATTTCTTTGCTGCAGCAAGACCTGATGGGAAACTCAGCTACTGAACTGAAGGGGTTGGTTACTAAAATCGTAGAGTGTAGGAAGTTGATAATCAGTCTTGTATGACATTACGGCTCATCCCCAGGGAAGCGGTATGCTTTGTTTATCTTTGCTGTGTTTGTTAGGTGCTGCTTCTCTTTGGAAGTATTAATTTCAAACTATCACCATCTCTTTTGAATTGTTGTTTCCTCTCTTTCTTCATCCTTCAGGGAAAGACTCTCGTCTCCTTGTCTTCAGACTCAGTGCTGTCCAAAAAGATATAGAAACAAAGCAAATGATACGGAGCAAATACGACTGCAGAGAAAATAAACTGGAGAGAACAAAAGGTGATTTTATTATCCCATGTTAAAAACATGCACGGTGGTATGATGCCTGTAGTTGCCAGGGGCTTATTAACTCTCTTGAGGGTGTTCAGCTTTAGTTTTTTTCTCTGGATAGTCAATTCAAACTTTGTTTAGCTTATGTGTGAAAATAAGCCTGGTATAGTCCATCATGACATTAGAACTTCGTGAAAATACCATGGCAACCACTGCTGATGAAAAGCTCTGGAGAAAAATAGATAAGTTGCTTTCAGGATTGAGGGGTATGAGAAGAACTATGCAGGGATGCGAGACTGAAATAAAGGGCATTTTAAGGTGGAGGAACACTGGCAAATCTCTGTCTAATAGTAGTGCTTAGATTAGTTTGGGTATTGCTGATTATTTTAGTAGATGTAAATATTTTCTGGTCTTCAGATGCAAGCTGCTTTGGAAAGCTGGAACCTGCAGAATAGTGAAAATCCGTGTATTTAGCCTTTACTTGCAAAAGGATTAAGGGGAAAAATAGACTTCACAAGAGTCATAGCCTTTTGTCTTTTTCTAGAAGTTAATGTTATCATATTGGGAGGTTTGTAATTCTGTGTTGCTAAGTCATGCATCAGAGCCTCGTTGTAGTAATCATCATGCAAATACAGAACACAAAAAAAGAAAAGCAGACCCTACTCCAAACACTTACAATGTAGAGCATTATTTCCTCAGGCTGCCATTTGTATGCCATTAATACTCACCATGGCAGTGAAGTGAGGATTGTTGTGGCTATTCGGAACAAACTACTTCTCATCACAAAGAAATACAATCCACGCAACAGTTTAACCGGCAGCTCTCTGCTATCATCATCTGAATCTCCAGTAGAGGAGTTCCAGTACATCCGGGTATGTGGAATCTAATCACGCGTTACCTTAATAGACTGGGCAGCACTCAGCTAGTTCGGGGGGAAAGACAAAGAACATGCATTTTTATCCTCCTGAACCTCCAGACAAATAAAAGTGGGAAGCCATATGATGGAGTTCCATCATATATATGCCAAACAAATATTTAAGATTTTTAAAATTAAGTTTCTGCTTGTTCTTTATCAGTGTTTCTGTGCTTAGAGCATATCCCTTTAAATTCATGGAGTACTTGCAGTACCTGCAGCACCCACAGTAGGAGCTTGAAAAAGAGAATAATTCTATTATTTACATTATAGGAAATATGCCTTTCTGACCCTCCAGTGGTTATGACGCTGGTGGATGGACCTACTGGAGACAGTGACAATATGATCTGTGTAGCATATCGGCATCAGTTTGATTTAGTTAATGAGAGTACTGGGGAGTCCTATAGATTGCATCATGTTGAAACAAACAAGGTAAGTTTTCATAATTGAAACTATTTTCTTGCAGAACCACACTGAATATAATTTTATGCAGACTCGGTGCATCCTGTGCTGACCTCATGGGAGTGTAATTTATAGACATACCTCATACCTCTTACCTTTCACTTCTATAACCTCTGCTTTAGGACACTGTGAGATATTTGTTCCTTTTGGGATACATGATAATAATCACTGCCAAGAGAGGTAGTTATAAGGTATTGACACATTAGGAAAGAGACTGTTTCAGGTTCCGGAATGTTGCTGTCAGCATAAATAAGTTTTTCTCCTTTCTTAGTCAATAGTTTGCTTTTTGCTTTTTCTTTGTGATCTCACTGTTTTATTGTTTAAGAAATTGCAGCAAAATAACTTCAGTTGTTGGCCACCAGTATCTCATTCAGATTTGCCTGTACTCACGCTAAAATATTTGCACGTAGATTTTAGTTCTATTGAAGAAGCTGCTGCCCAGTCAACTAATAAATTGGCTGAATCTTTCTGACTAGGACATAGTGTTGGGGTTTAAGCAGATGTCCTGATTTTCAGAAAAGAGCTCCAGTATTTCCTGCTACTGGGAAGACAGTGATCTTCAGCATCTCTGAAAATCAGGTCACTTTAACTGTTTCTAAGTATGGATGTGAACATACAGTTTTAGACCAAAAAAAAAAAAAAATTCCACAGTTGCACATCGTTTTTTGTTGCTGTTTTTAACTGATTTTTTCCTTATAATGAGATAAGGGACTGCTCTTCTCATTTGATGGTTCCTGTTGATAGGTTATTTTCTTTTTAAGTCAACTGTATTTTTGTTCAGATCTGATGATGAAGAGGTTTGGTACTCCTAGCATGGGTGATACAGTTTAAACTACTCTACAGCACTGGAAATCTTTTAATCTGGATGAGGAAGAACTACAAGTAAAGAATGAGAATGGAGAAGTACACCCCCCCACCCCCATTCCTCTTTTCCCCAGGAATCCTTATTTCCTTTGAGAACACAAACAAAGCAGACAATTAATATGAGCTGAGGCAGTGATTTTTGTGATGTGGAAATGGGACACCAAAGTATTTCCGTGAGTGTGGAAGAGAAGCAGAAATGGCTTTCAGTCTACAAAGGATGGGTCAAAATGTATTTGGTATAGATATATAAGCTTCCATGCGTGTTTAGCAGTTCTTTACCTATACAGTAATCTTAAATGAAGAGGTGAACATCTATCTTACCATACAAAGGAAAGTCAGAGAACTGCTGTTCATGGAATCAGTCTCCAGCCCCTCTCCCTGCCCAAGTAGTAAATGTTGTGGTCTGAGAAGCATTTGTCTAATATAATCTTATGTGTTTCCCTAATAAGGTCTAATTTCCTGAACAGAGTCCCTACCTTTTATGGCTGGTTTGCATTTTTTAAGCTAACTGTAAAAGACAAATACAGAGCTGAAATATGAGAATTTAGGTAGTCTATGCTATGTAAAAAATACTGTGGTTTATCCAGCAATGATTCTCAGTTTCTAAATTCAGCCTATTCAGTAATCCTTAGGTAGGTCCTTATCGACCTCTGTCAGTGTTACTGCTTTTAAACCAGTAACTGGTGCATCTGGTCCTTCTGCTAGTCATGATGTACAGTGGAGCTTTTTGGATTTCACTTTTTGAAAAGAGTTGCTATTTTTAGCATATCATGTTGATTCACTGCTGTCCTGAAATTGTCCCATTTCCCAAAATTTCTATTGCCAAATAAGTTATGTAAGTTTTAATTACTTTATATTGTGGCTATGGTATTGAATATTCAGTACTGCACAGAACTGAATACAAAAGAAATTGATTTCCATCCTGAGAGCACCCTGAAAATTAATCACAAAAGAGGCTGCATTTGAAAAATGACTACTTTTTTTTTTTTTTATCTCTAGGTGCACACTCTCCCACCCGAGGTATTGCTTGTTAGTCAAAACCGGTGTGTAATAACCTCCGTATCCTCTGCCTGTTCATTACCCTTTCCCATTATCATTGCAGGTTAATTTTGTTGCAGCTATCGATGTGTATGAAGACGGTGAAGCTGGCCTACTGTTGTGTTATAACTGTAAGTATTTAGGAAGGACCAAAAATGGAAATACCTCAATCTGCATATGTAATTCCTTTTTCATTGGAGTCTAGATCTGTATTCTAAACTAAATTTCAGTGTTTCATGGAAAGTTTTTCAATATACATTCATTTTAATTTAAATTTGTATTAGAGTGGAAATTGAAGTATTATTTTATTGCAGGGTATGTCGAATTTAGACGTACTAGCTGTTAGGTTTTAATTTCCGGTATGTAGATGTGTATGTATACATCTGTAGACGTTATCACCTTACAAAAGTACTGTTTCTTCAGATCTAGCTCATTCTTTAGGTAGTTACACACTTGCTAGGTGTTTTCAAGACACGTACAGTTTAACATTCCCCGCCTTTTTCTTCTTTGTGCTGTCTCATTCTGTCTTTGGGCTTTTTCTTCCGCCTACTCTTTGGCACTGTTGCATTATTTCACTGTAATTCTCTCAATCTTTTATAAAAAGGCATTGGCTACAACACGCGTGTCCTCTTCTCTGCAGCACACAGGTACTTTTTCCTCCAATCCTCATGAAAATAGACGGTCTTAGCATGAAGCAGCCTTTATGAGGCAATGCTGAACGACAAGGCATGGCTTTCTCTGTTGGAGAAGGCATGTCCTGTTTACCTCTCCAAAGTGAACATGGATTGAGACAGGATAAATACACCTATGTTCCAGCACTGACTATCAGATTGGTACCACAGAGCAAGTTTTGAGCATCTCTGTATCTTTCTATGCTCTGTGAGGCCTTATTGGTTCTGGTAGCGTGCCATATCCTACCTGGTTCTCTTTCACTTAGCATTGCTTCAGAACTAAAAAGATACCTGACGGGGCATAGTGAATTCCCACCTGTATTTCTGCATGGAATCAGTTCCCCTCTACTAGACCCATTGCTGCGCCAAAGCTAACAAACTTAGTTGATCTTAAAGTTACAATAAAGGCACTGCACAGGCTTGCAGCAACTTGAATTCCTATTTCTAGGACAGTGCCACAGGGAAAACCTACATTTGTTCTTTAGAGTTTTATAATTCTGAAAGTATCATCATAGAACAAATATGAAAACAGAGGATTTGGCAGTGTCCTAAGTTTGTATTTAGAAAAAGACCTGTAATACATTTCTGGGTATAAACTTTGATTCAGTCTAAGGACATCAATTAAAGGAAAAAGAATAGAATTTTACCGTAAAAAAAAAATAGAAAAGAGCTGGAAGCAGCATGTATTTGAGAGGGTCGTAGATGTATACCTGGAGCCCTCAGTACGCTCTTGAGCCTGTGAAGAAAAAAAAAGATGATTGCAATTGCATCTCGTCTTTAACCTTTCTTATTGTTTGCTGATAAGACTTCTCAAGTCCTGAACTTTAATAGATGTTTTATCAGCACTAGCACGTGTTTAAGAAAAGATCTGTTGGTAGCGGAAGGTTAGGTTCCCCGTTATCTAGATGTGTCAAATTAAAAATTCAGAATTGCATTGCTAGTAAGAAGCTGTATAAGCTAGTATTCGTGTCCGACTTGTAGAAAGACTTTTAGTTTCACAATCGGTGGATTTACAGCAGCTAAGAAGTTGGTTCACCGGTTATGTGATTAAGGAAATCTTGGTGTATGTAATATCCTGTGTGTATAACAGTCTTCAAAGAGCATAAACTGTGCTAGCATATGGCTGCCTGAAGGGCAGTTCTTACTGACAGGTACAGTTTTGCTGACGCTGCTTTCTGAATTTTTCTTGCCTATTCCTCCATCCATAGACATGGTAAGGAACCGATAACTCAACAGAGTAATAATTACTTTGTGAAATATGACAACTTATTAAAGTGTCGGTCTTTTTATTTTTATCTTTCAAATGCCATGTTCACAGAAGAAGCACATTTCCTTTATCTGTTTAGATGTAGGGGGACTTCTACACAAATGTTTGATTACGTATATAATGCCCACACTTCTGCAAAATCTGCCTGTGAAGTTGGTGTTTGTCACTTGTGGTGTAAGGTGATGGCTCATTTTTCTTTTCTTTTTTGTTACAGATGTTTGCCAATACAGAAAAGTATATCCTTTCAATGGAGGTTCTCCACTGATTCAGACATCAGCTTATGACTTTCACTTCAGCTGGAATCAAGTTCCTGACGCTGTTGGTAAGAAAATTTTTCTTTTCACTACATGGCCGTTTTTTTCATTACCATTTAGGCTTGCACTTGGCTGTTAGTGGAATTATAGTATGTGTGCTAGGAAAAAGCATGTTCCATTCATGATGCCACTTTAGCTAATTTTCTGCATATGATGATTTTTAAAAGTGGAGCCTTGTTACCAAGTTCTTCCTTTGATTAACTTTTTCTCCTTTTTTATGTTTTTAATTTTCCATTCAGTCTATGTTCTGCTAGGCATGGAGAATGAAGTTTTCTTCAGGCTTGATGTAGCTCAATGTCCATCAGTATGTTAGACAATCCTTTTCATAGGAAAGGGAGATGCCTGAAGAGGTCAGATACTTAAGAACAGTTTTCATGGAGCATTGAAGAAACTTTTACATTAAACATTTTTCTTGCCAAATAATTTTTGTTTCATTGCAGTCTGTGCTTTCCCTTATATCCTTGCCTTCACTACTGATTCCATTGAGATCCGATTAGTGGTGAATGGGAACTTAGTCCACACAGCAGTTGTGCCTGAGCTTCAACTTGTAGCATCAAGGGTAAGACACAAGAAAATCATGTTTGACTGTTTCTGTGATATGTTGGGATCTAATTCACATAAAAAGTTGCTGCAGCCAAAAAACAAACCAACAAAAACTGAAACATGTGCTACTTGATCTGTGGTAACTGTACATCTGTGGGCTCTTAGTTTATAGCAAGTACAAAGAGAATCAGAATTGATCTCGCTGATCTTTATTGCTCGCACTAATGCAGATCTGGGATATTTGACTGTTTATGGGGCAAATTCTGTTCTCAACATCACAGATGTTCTCTCCACTTACAGTGGGATAACCTTTCCATGACCAACCCTAGTTGACTTAGCAGCAATACAGCTGTATTAGTGGCAACAGAAAATAGTGGACAAACATTTGAGCTCTTACTCAGAAGATGGTTAAGAAAGTCTTGCTGTACTAATGATGACTTATTTGTCATTTCAGTCAGATATTTATTTTAAAGCGACTGCTGCAGTAAGCTGTAAAGAAATGAATTCAAGGAGTCAAACACCGACAGCTTATGAAATGCCAGAATGTCCTGTCTCTTCTCTAGAAGGTAACATGGTTTCCAGGCAGCTTGAATCCTGTGATCCTTCCCACAGCTATGACATGTCAGTGCAGCTGATCTTTAGTAAGATGAAATTGATCAGGTAAAAGATTTTTAGTTCCTAGCTGAGAGTCTGAAAAATAGAGGTTTTTTTTATTTATCCACAGATGTGAAGCACCTGGCTGAGCTTTTGCCCAGTAGTATCTCTTCTGAAGGCATGGTAGCACTGTTTTGAAGAAGTGATTTCTGTAGGAGGGGAGGAGTTAGGCTTCAGTAGTTTGATGACTATTTGTCAATATGGCCAAGACTAATAATGCAAAAAGAGGTATAAAATTGTAGGAAAACTTGAGATTTCACGTACACCGTTCCTTCCATTTAAGAAAAGCTAAACTACCACTGGATGGTTAAAGCTTTTTTACAGACCAAAAGTAAGAAGTTCTAGCCTCAAAAGAGTTTGCACAGTCACTTTAGTGTAACATGATCTGTGAATGATCAGTCTCTAGCTAAATAATAACGGAGAGAAAAGGGAGGGAATATCCACTAGATAATGCAAGATGTGTGTATATCTTCCTCACTTAAATCTGCTGCTGCACTGTTGGCAAATGGGGAAAGGAGAAAAGAATCACGATTTTGTTTTTTAAAAGGCAGTCCTATTTGATGGTAAGTTGGGTTTATTTTCCTAGGAATTAGGAAAACACATGGCATTTTATGTCACCTAAGAAGGGGAGCCATACTTTAAACCACTTGGGATCCAGGTTCCAATATACTTACAACATATTAAAATACGTGGGGACTATTGCACAGAGTGCAGAGGCATGGTGTAATAGTCAGAAATACCAGCCTCAGGACATGTAAATTTATTTCCTGGTTCCACTGCTCATCTGTCATGTGGACAAGAGTCAATCTTCTTTGTCTCTCCAAGTCAAATTGCACGTCTGCACAATGTGGTTGTATTTCTTCCTCCTCCTAGCCTATTTATTTTGAAGGATCTCTGGGGCAAGGAAGATCTTAGTTATTTGCACTAAAAAGCACCCAGCACAGCAAGTGTAACTTCTCTGTATAACTTTTCATTTGGATAAGAACTGATTCTGTTGTAAAAGTGTAACATTCTTTTTTCCTTCTGTGTTTCAGGTGAAGTTCCATGCAAAAACCTGTACAAAATTCCTCTCAGTAATCTGGTTGGGCGAAGCATTGAACGACCTCTGAAGTCACCTTTGGCTCCCAAGGTCATCACTACTACAACACCCAGTGCCATTGCCTCTCTTCCAGTCACTCACTCACTATCCTTATCTCGTATGGAAATTAAAGAAATTGCAAGCAGAACGCGTAAAGAATTGCTGGGTAAACTCTCCTCATTCTTCAGTGTACATATCAATTGCCAAGCATGTAATGTCTAATCTTTGGACCATCACAGTCAGATTTCACAGAATCACAGAGTGTTAGAGATTGGAAGGGACCTCGAAAGATCATCCAGTCCAATCCCCCTGCCGGAGCAGGACACCTAGATCAGATCCCACAGGGATGCATCCAGGCGGGCTTTGAATGTCTCCAGAGAAGGAGACTCCACACCCTCTCTGGGCAGCCTGTTCCAGGGCTCTGGCACCCTCACCGGGAAGTTTTTCCTCATACTCCAGTGGAACTTCCTATGTTCCAGCTTGAACCCATTGCCCCTTGTCCTGTCACTAGATGTCACAGAGAAGAGCCTGGCTCCATCCTCCTGACACTCACCCTTTACGTATTTATAGACATTGATTAGGTCACCCCTCAGTCTCCTCTTTTCCAGGCTAAAGAGACCCAGCTCCCTCAGCCTTTCCTCAGCAGGGAGATGCTCCATTCCCTTCGTCATCTTTGTGGCTTTGTAACAAGCAACCAGTATTCATAAATAAGTAGTATAATCAAAGAAATGAAACTGTGAGAAAATATTTGCAAATTGTCTAGCCAGCATCCGATCACATATATAAGGTGACCATATTCTAAGCCAGGTAAAAACTATTTAGTTAATAATGGAAACCAGTGACAGATACCTTAACGTTTTCATGAATGCTTTATTTTCTGTTGGGAGATTAAGTCTTTTATTCCTTTATTGAGGCCTCTTGGATGAGCCTATACCTAAGACAGAAATTGCACAGAAGGAAAAAAACGTTCCACGAAGACAGTCAGACCCCAAGCAGGGAGCAGTAAGATCAACTAGTAGTGACAGGTAAATATACTGGCTTTAGAAAAGAACCGAACTTAGACTGTAAATGTTTTCAGTATTTATTGTTTTTCAACCTGTTTGGCATGGGGTGGACTGAGACCTTTGTATAACAATGTGAATTTCATGCTAATGTGTTTGTTAGAGTATTGGAACACTGTAAATATTGAAACAAGTATTTGCTAAAGACATATTAATGAGCAAAGCAAGACTAAATGGGATTTTGTGGGGACCTGCTGCAGTTGAGCCTGTCATTAGGATTTTGGTTACTAGATCTGCACTGTGCAGGCTCATTTGCTGGTTTCTTCTTATACTCATGTGTTGCTATTTCCAGAATAAATTTTGCAAAGAAACGCTATAGGATTTGTCTGGTTCTGCTTACCCAACCCCACTGCCATTTTCTTGTTTTCACTGTTTTCACAACCAATGTTTGTGTATAGTGGTAGAATTCAGCCAAGATACAGTAGACTGAGATTAACAAAACAAAAAATCTGCTGCAATGTAAAACCATATTTGATTTATTTCACTATTTGGAAATTATTTGGGTGGGGGCTTCATTAACGTTGCCTTTTGATGATTTTCAGCAGAGTAAAACAGAGAGAAACTCTGTTTTAATGGTCTGTCTCTGTCGTTAGGATAACTTGATTGAATCTAGAAATAGCCATTTATACTACTTGCCCTGATCTGTGTATTTTTTTAGTAACTTTCGTCTTCCTCTTTGCAGGATAATCTCAAGCTCTTTTGAAAGCTATTCTGAAGGACGTCATCTTTCCACTAGTTCAGATCCCGATACTTTAGCAAACAGGGAGGAGAGCTCACCATCTAGCTATCCATTTCAGCTGATTTCTTTATATGATGAAGACATCATTGACTTGAAGTGAAGACAGTCCTAAAACCGTTCTTCCTTACTTCACATTTTCTTACAACTCTGTGAGCTCTATGGGAATGTCACAAACACTGCTTCTAGTGGTAAAACGTGGCTGGAAGTATTGGTGATTAATCTTTATAGAACCCATGTTGTTCTGGCTAGCTCAGCCTGATTTGGTGATGCTTGTATCTTTGACATAGGTATATTTTCTTTTCACAGTTAAGGAACCATTACTTTTTGTGGCATTCTAACAGTAGGTAATCAGTGAGAGATTTAGGCTGAAACTGAAGTAAATAAAAAGTATTACTTGTTCTGAGCTTCTTATAATTTGAAGTACCTGAATGACATTAAGCTAAGTTAATAGCTGTTATTACTATAATGGGTTGTTTTACAACAGTGTATGCCATGTGGGAAGAGGAACATAAATGACTCCTTTTGGTTTTTCAGTCTTTTAAAAAACAAACAACAAAAAAAAAAAGGCTTGCAGGCAAGGTCTTTCCAGGCAGTGCAGTCTGTCCTTGAAATGATGGAGCTGTGGTTATGTTCACTGAAGAATCAAGGATGTTCTATAAAGATCAGGTAAGATATGAAGATGCTGCTTTCTTTGCTCTGGCCTGTCTGTGCACATTTTTTAGAGAAACTTGAAGACTGTTTGGGCATTAAGAATCCTTGAGCAGAGAGACTTTTTGTAGAAAACACAAACTTTCAAAATATTCCTTAAGAATTGGAAGTGGGGAGGTGGGGGGAACCACAACCCAAAGAAAAACCTCAACTGTATTTCTCCACCTGCTGGAAAGCTGTTACTGTAGTGCACCTACAGATTTTCCCATTACAGGCAGAAGAACCAACCCTTGATTTTCTTTCTGACTACACAAAGATTCCTCTGCAGGCATCAGTGTTAGCTGTTGTCTGCTCTTGCACCAACAGTGTAAGTCATTATTCCAGATAACCATATTTTTTCTGACTGGATCCAGACTGAAATTTCACTGCTAAGAAGCTGGGTTTCTATGATGTCATCTTAGATTTTTTTGTTATGTTAAAAGACAGAGTTTCATGTTTAAAACTTATTTCTTAACCCTTTCCTGTATGCCAAAAATCAATTTTAAACAGTATTTTGAAAGGGTTTTGGTTTATTTTGGATTTTTTTTTATTGGTTTGTTTTGTTTCATGAAAGCATGATGCTTCCAGGCTTTTTATATATTAATATTTTTGCTTTATTAGCAAGTATTTCTTGTTCTATATGTAGAAATACTTCTGTATCCTTGATTTTATTTTGTAATACCATTCATGTGTCATGATTTCACTTTCTGTCCAAGCATGACCATCTGGAGATGTGTGCCTTTTGCTTCGGTCGGTCTGAATGTAAAACTGTTTTTGCAAAGTATTTTTTGCTCAGTTTATATAATGGCTTAATTGCTCCACATAAGAAAATATGCAAGGCCTTATTTGAAAGGATCATTTCTTACTCTCAACTGGAGTGGCTGATCAAGGAAAGAAGCAGTATTTTGAACAGTAATTAATCTAGGAGCAGAAGCAGTATTAACCAATGGCTACTATTATTTTTGTATTTTTGCACCCATAGATGAGGTGGGGTGAACCTTAATAAGCATCTAAAAAGAAGTGCCAGCTCAAAGTCCTTGCAAGAGCTTGTAATTCTTCTTGAGAATGTTATTTCCAGAGATTGTGTTAATTTACCCTGTCCTATTTATCTAGGCAGCAAAGGTTTAAGAAAATCAATCTGAAAGTACCATGTGGTGCTTATTTTCCTGGAAGTTGTAAACACTTCTGTGGACTTAGCAAATCCACTTTAGGAAGCACTGCTTGCACTTAAATTTATTTTTAGAAAGCAAAAGCACTGCCTTTTTCCATAAATGGATTTCTTGATGTAGTGTTTCATTTCTGTTATGTGGGTGTTTTCAACGACTGTACCAGTGTGTTGCAAAACTGGGGCTTTAGTTGAAGTACAGATTTAACTGGAGATATTGCTTTGCACTGTTAGGATACCAGATTTTGAATATATAACAGATGTTCACCTGTGCTATTCTAGCACAATTCAACATGACTAAACCATAGTTTGATAGCAGTTGAAGCAATATATGGAGATTTTAAAGCCTGTTTGGAAGAACCTGAACAAACACATATTTAGGTATCATGAAAGACGAGCCATAGAGATAGAGCACTAGGGAGATCAAGAAGAATGAGAAAAGCTGGACAGAAAGCTTGACTACTGGCAATGGTGGTAGTCAGGATGCATATAGAAGTTGCATTTGCTTCATAACTGAAACAAGATTATAGAAAGAAGGGCCATAAAGCAAGATATAGTTTCTTTAACCAGAACCACAGCAGTGGCTGTAAAGTATTGCCATGAAGTAAAAGTGTATGAGTGTGTGTGTGAGAACTTTTGGAGGTCTGCCTGTAATCACAGCATTGACGACATTTAGCAAATACTAACAAACAGCAAAAGGACTGTAAAGAGTACAGATTAAATTTGATTCCTTAAGCTACACAAAAACAGATCAGACCAGCTTCATGGTACTTACCTGGAACAGGGATGTTGGTACAGTTGGAAGAGGGAAGCCCAACAACTGCCTCCCCCATCACTACCTCCCACCTGAATTTTATGGTAGAGCTTGACTTAATGGGTCAGGTGCAAGCTGTTACGGAGGTCACAATGGGAACCACCAGACTTAGCAGACTATTAGTTATATAGGACAGGAACGATCTGAACCTTGGAAAAAAATTACCTGTCTTCATTCCTATTGTATGCAGTAAGTACCTTAACAAGGCTGCCACTTCTTGAGTTTTTCCTTCTGTAATTAATCAGCATGTCTTTCAGGGATGTAGGGTGAATATTAGACCTAGCAAAAGAAGTTGGGATGGATCAGGCAGCATCAGTTCGGTTTATATGACACCTAGAGATGGTAGCTGAGGCTTTAGGGTCATGTATATGTAGTTTACTACCTACTTACTGTACAAGAGCAGCCCAGAGTAGAGGTAGAAGGCAGAGAACACGATAATAATGTTGCAATTTTGTTTGACACAAGCCACAAGAATCAAATTCTGTGACAGTCTTTATCATATTTATTGTATCAAAAGACATATCACACAATAATGTGAAATTGCTGGCACAATGGACATATCCACTGTACAAGGATGTGGCTTCTGTGGGCTCATAGCAGTCTCATCAGACCACTGTGAGTTACATGCCTCTTAGTCTGATGAGTTGGCATCTGCTGAACTAGCTTCTAGGCATTGTTTCTCTCAAAATATTGTCTTAGATCCGTACCATTCAGACTGCTAATTAAAATCAAAACAAAAGCCAACTGGGGGTATTGATATATAAGCTCTTGTGCATCATTTATAAAGGGCTAGGTTTTTATACATCTATGCAACCTCTCCTACTTCAGACCAGTGTCAGATGACAAGGTGTGTTGGAAGGCTACTGGGATGGACACCTATATTGTCATTCACTCCAGCCTTAGAGCTATGTTGTTCCCCTTCTGCTTTTCCTTCCCTTCTGCTTTCCGAGCATGTGCATGCATCTACTCATTAAAACTTACTTAGAAAGTAGTGTTGCACAGAAATTTTAGCTATGTCCACTCTTAAGCACAACCCTTCCTATTTTCACATCTTACGTTAAAGCTGCCTTTAGCCAGCATTCTTGGTGTTGGCTGACCATCTCATGGAGGAGAGAAAAGATAATATTTGAGTCTACAGCTCTGTAAGATGGGTGTTGTGCTAATAGACAGGAATAGTGAAAAATCGTGCTACAGATGGATAGAAGAAATTCTTTCCATGAAGGAAGAATTGTTACACTTGCTATCAAGCTAAGCTCAACTGAAGGCCTATTCTGGACTCTCCTAACAGCTCGAAGTTTCTGCAAATGTTTTCTATCCCAACATGCTGGATTTGTGGGAGGAGGCAGGGCTCTTAACCCCTTCTAGCTGGTGGTATTGTCACCGCTTGGCACTGTGCCTTAGTCTGACTAAATTATGGGAATGTCATTTACTTTGGTGCAAGCATTAGACTGTGCAGGCACTTAACTTAGAATCTACTCGTGCCTCCTCACCAGAAGGGGTAATGATGCATGGAATCAGGATCGTTGAGTTTGGAAGGGACCGCTGCAGGCCAGCTAGGCTGTACCCACCACCACACACCTCCATTCCAAAGTGCCGGGTTGTTCAGCGCCATGTTGTTGCATTTTGAGTTTGTTCAAAATGGGGGTACAATGTTTTGAGCCACTCATCATCTTTTCATACAAGCCATCGCCACAGCTTTGACGTATGACTAGGCCTCAAGAGACCTGAGACACACAAGCAAAGTTAATTCTGTCACACACACGTAATACGCGGCTCTTCAGGCTGAGGCCGTCCCACGGTCTGTACGATCTGAGCTTTAGGACTTGTTGCAGACTAACAATCATTTTTGTCCGGACCTTTCTTCTACTGGCAATGCAGTACACATAAATTTTATAAACATTTGAAAGTAACAAAACAGTTTCTTCTAAGGAGCGATAAAGACCCAGGTGCAGTTCGACAGGGCTAGGTGCTATTCATGGTAGCGAGAGATCTGTACTCGGGGTTGAATGGATGGGTGGGTACCTTCAGTTTCCTGGTTTGGAAGGAACAAGCAGGGCCTGTGCTAGTTCCAAACCTTTCCTGGTTTGGAGCTGGGGTGGGGATTTTTTGTTTTGGTTTGATTTCTTGGGGCTTGGGGGTGGTTTTGTTGGGTGTTTGGGTATGGTGGTGTTGGCTGGGGTTTTTTTCATTTGCGATGCAGAACATACAGGATGCAAGTGGCAACCCAAATGAACAGCAGGTTTGCTGTCTGCCTTCATATGACTATTTCTATACGCGTGCAAGCATTTGTAATTGATTGGTAGATTCAAATTAAATATATATATATATATTTTTAGTACTAGGCCAGTCAACTGAATAAATATTCAAACAGTTCTTCACAGGGCCAGGGAGAAGCAGTACCCACAGGAAGTGTAACACTATTACATAACCAGTCAAGGTTGCTGCTCCTGACGTTTTCTTTCTGCTGTTCCATGTGTATTTGACCCAGCCACAGCTTCAAGCTCATGCACAGTTTCCTAACGGTTCCGTGACTTGTGCTTGCAGATGCAGCAGCTTTCATAGAGCTGTTGGCTTAGTCTGCATGTGAGATACATAATCCTCTTGGTTTGGATTTGGTTCTTTATATAGATATACATATGTATGTATATACATATATATGTGTATGTAGTTGTAATTTGTGCCTCAAATTCTAAGGGATTAAAAGTCTTAAGCATATATAGGAATGTAAAGTAACAGCATCTTACGGGGTGGAAATCCCATCTGCAAGTGGTAAGGTAGTTCAGAATCATTTTTGTTGCCTTCTGTGTATGAAAATGAGTACCGTACTATTGTCACTATTAGCAATTTGATGTCATGGTTCATATGCACAATGCTTGCTAATTCTGTTAAAGCAGCATTTTCTCAGGCTTAGTCCCGTAGGAAAGCTTGTATGACAGTATGCAGCAAACATCTGTACTTGCATGCAGGTTAGAAAGTATTTTTACTCTTATTATTTGAGCACAGCAACTTCACCAGCCTGTATACTGCCTAGCTGCTTCACATTATTGCCGATCTACAACTGACTGACTCCTGTTTGCTACTGGAAATCGTATTAGCACAGGATTTGAATGGAAACTTATGTCACTAAAGGTTTGTGCAAAAAGTGTTATCAACCTGGACTGTCCGTTTTAACTAAGTCTTTGAATGTTAGCAGACTGCTTAGTAATTTATTAATTGCATATTGTTAAGACTGTTGCTACATTCGTGATCAAAAACTCTTTATCTACCACTTGTCTTAAATGCCAGTGTATTACCATTGTTTTTAGTGTTGTGTGATAGCGTGTATGGTTTGTGTTTTAGATGTGACATCCAAATAGAAACAGTCCTATCACAGCTGGAACTGTTTTAACTACCGTTTATCACATTTGTGAAGGAGTAACAGATGGTTTATTCCTTCATGTGTAATAAACCATAAAATTTACCTCACTTCCTTCTTTCATACATGCGGAAATAATGGCTTTTCCAAAATTGGTTCATCAGACAAGAAAGTAAAGAGAGAAGGTACTACACTACTGCAGACAGCTCTGGATTACTGTTGCCATTTGAGTTCTCCAGAAATTTTGTTTCAGAGATGTCATTCCTTTAAGTGCTATATCATACCTGGGAAGTGGTGTTTTTGTCTTAAGCATTACCCATCTTTGCCAAAAAGTATGATCCAGCATTGGTTTGTGTTTCCAGGCATCTTTTAAACTTTCAGAGACCTGCACCTGTTGGAGAGCTTTACCCCTTAAATTAACACTGCAAAAGATAGTTTTTCTTGTTTTCTGGCTACGAGTATCTTTTCACTCATCTCCAAGACCTTGTTATTCCTTTTGGAAAAGCAATGCTCTTTCCTGAATTCTAAAATACATTCTCCTAAGAGCTACAATCATTCTTGCTATTTTAAATGCATTCCTAGACCACTTGACAGCAGTAGGAAAAAAAATGCCAGCTTAACACTAGCACCTGTGAAAGCCAAGCATTCATCTCCAGTTGGGACCAAGACTTGGTCCAGGGTCAGGCATCCCAAAAGCAGTAGCAGTGACCAGAAGGTAAAGTCCCGCAATCTGACATTAACAGTAGCCAGGCTACATCATTCATTTCTTCACTGTAACATGTGCCATAAGGGAAAGGTAAAGTGGAGCAAGGAAATTTAATTTATTTATTTACAAAATTAGAACTTAATTTGCATCTTAGAAAAAAATACTGGCCAATACATTTAGCATTCTTATTTGGCCATTATAGTCAGACTAAATAAACCAGGTGAAAAGAACACAGGAATGGAAGAAAAATAATATGTCCAAACCCTGCACGAGGGAGACTTACTACAGGTAGTATGCAGAAGTGTATGCAGATCCCCATGATATTTTTTAAAAAACAGAATTCAGATTTTACAAAATTTCATTAAAATCATTTGATAGCAAGTTTAGTAATTGAGATGTCTGCCATGTAATGCAGTTAATTTCAACCGTAGCACCAGAATTCATGACATGAAGGTTTCATATCAATATAAAAAGCCTCAGGCTTAAGATCTTCTGAAGTAGGCCTCAATTTGCTCCAGGGTCTGTCCTTTTGTTTCAGGAACATAAAAGGCTGTAAAAGTTACATTGAGGCAGCAGAAGGCTGAGAAGAGCCAGAATGTGCCATAGGATGTTAAGAAACCCTAAGAGAGGAGAAACAACAGAAAACACATTATTACAGCTCACTACTGTACAACTACAGTTCTGTATTACCAGAGAAAACTGTGGCTCAAGGCTCCCTCAGGAGCATCTTTAATAAATTTCTCTATGAAAATAATTGTAATTTATGATGCTTACTATAAAATCATGAAATTCTTTGGTTACCAAGAAGGCCATAACCCAGTTTGTTAACACACAGGCACTGCTCAATATGCCTCTAGCTTTAAGTGGAAAGATTTCAGATATCACCAGCCATGGAACAGGACCCCAGCCAAGGGCAAAACCTGCAATTACAAACAGAAGAGTACATTTGAAAGGAAAGACTGAATGATGCCAAAGTTAGTTAAGTAAGGGGGATGCAGTTTTCACTCTAGATTCTTTGATTATTCCAGTAAAACAGTACCTCTACCAGAAGGAAAAAGTTATTTTAGGGCAGCATGATAAAGGCTTATTAATTACAAGAATATTCTTGGCAAGAAGAACTTCTTGCCACAAAGTCTCTGAAGTGGTACGCTTAAAAACTGACCTTGTTCCGAACTGCTGCTGCCTTGTACCATCACAGAATTCAGTGTGGCTCAGCCGTTAACAAGACTGGTTTTTTCCATTAATGACTGTAAAGCAGTTTAACCTGAGCAATCACTATTAGCACAAGGAGGTATAAATTCATTTTCCAGGGAATTGGCTTAAGTAACCTATCTCTGTCACCAGGCCTGTGAATGCTCAGCCCAACTTTGCATTATACACTGAAAAGGTCTGTCAAAGACATAACTTGTTTCCATTCATCAATAATGGGACAAAATGGAACAAAACTGTCACATTAATCAGCAAGTTTGTTTTATGTAATGGCTACTTAGAAGCCTGTTCCACTTACCAGCAACAAAGAGCCCTAGACTCACTACTGCAAGCCAGGATATGCTGCTTTGTGTCCCCGGGGATGCTGAATTTAGGGTGAACCATACATCAGGATTTGATGAGTTGTTTCGATTTGGAAGGACCATTTTAAAGTAAAGCCCAAACAATGCAGTACTGAGAGCCATGATTATCCCTGAAAAGTAAGCAATAACCAAGTTGTCACTGGTTGCCACTTAGATATTCTTCTGAGAGACAGAACATAGAGGGTCAGCCAAATATAAGATATGCTGGCCCTCCTAGAAGTGTTTCTTAAAAGGTACTGTTCTTGGAAGTAAACACTGGCCTTGACAGGAGTGAAAGATGCTAGATAAGGATTCTAAACACTAGACAAACAATATGGTCTTGACAGCAGTCATTACTATTGAGTGTGCAGCACAACAGCTCTATCAAACAGAGTTTTCTTTAGCACCTTTAATTCTAAGTTAAAAAATTTTAACTATAGTCTAATATAACTAAACACCACAACGTGCCATGAAAGTAGCAGCAGCCACTTTGAAAATAGCCATTTGTTGACAACTTGGGTATGAGAATGTATCATGACACTGAATCCTGTTAGGCAGAAAAATTATTATGGTAGTAAGTACTGCCTCAGTGACATATAGCTATTTCAAAATAAAAACAGGCCTGGTAAGAAGACAAAAAGACATCCATATGTAGTTTCTAGGGGCTACACCTACGATGTATATATAACATGATAGTTTCTTCTTATGAGTTTTAAGTTTATAGTTATACTAAATTATAAAGCAAACCACTTAAAAATGCGTAAATTGCAATACTTAATTCCCCTAACAGTTAAGACACTTTTTGGTACTATATAAAGTAATTTTTCTTACTGAACAAAATTCTGCAATGTTTTACCAGATATGTAAAGCAGCACTTTTCGTCCCGTTTTATCTATGATAAGTGCAGCCACAGCAGTGAAACACACTTGTATGGAACCCACAACAACAGAAGCCATTCTGCTGTCCTGAAATACAATAAGAGATAGATGGGGAGAATTTGTTCTTTCAGGCTGGTAAGAGGGTCACTTATCAAGCATTACAAATGCATTTGTTTTTTGAATGTGAAAGAAGACTATGCCACAGAAATTCATGGTGGGGGGAGACAACAGGGGAAGCGTAAAAAAAAAAAAAAAAAAAACAAACCACCCACCCATCACCAATTAACACAACATACTGGTCTCTTAATAAACTTTAAAATAAGCCACAACTTCTCCGCTACAGTTTCACTTTATCCAAAACACTGCATTTGCAACTCTAATAAAAATAAATGTATATAGGAAGATGACTATAATAGGAATTTCTATCACTAGCAAAGTTTCAGACCAACAAAACACAACATACTTCCTCCCCCCCCCCCCCAAAAAAAAAAAATCAGAACATTCAGGTATGCCAGAATAACACAGTCAAGAGAGTATCTAGAATCCAAACCGAAAAAGCCCACTAGATCCCAAACCCTGTTATTTATGACATGGGCAGGATCATTATCAAGTCAGTTTATTATGTTTTAGACTTCTTATAGCACTAAGATGAAACTATTACAGACATTTGTCAGTTTGGAAACACACCCCAATTACCCTGAAGCATGCATCTTCAAAGATAGTTTCTGCATAAAACATAACTGCATTAATGCCTGTTACTTGCTGGAAGAACATTAGAGCCACACCAATAAGAAGTGGCTTGTAGATTGAGGGGTTCTTAAAGTCAGAGAGACTCAGTCCCTGTTAAAAAGATGAAGGAATGATTTGGTGAAAAATGTCATATTTTAAATCAAAGAAGAACAACAACAAGAACAAGCTTCCTCATACCATTTCAATCTCTTCAAACTCAGTCAGTTCCCCACTCCCCCTTTAGCAAAACTAAGTCAAACTAAGTCCCTTAACAGTAAAAATGTTTACACGTAAAGTATCTGAGAATTCCAGAAAAGCATTTTCCCCCTTTTCCTAGGTTCTAGAGACAGAAATTGACAGTACTTTGTAGAGAAAGTTAACATGAATGAATCCATGGTTTGCAGAAACTGAACTTCAATGATTAGACCTGCCTGGTTAAGCACAGATCTCACAAGAGGCTAAATGATGCTTTTAGAGATGCAGGAGCAAATACATTCATACAACACAAGCAACAGGAAATTAGTGTTAGAGGTGTTGAACAATCCTACAAAATCGCTAAATAAAGCAAAAAACTAGATAGCTGTCATATTATGAACAAAATCACAAGCCTGACTGCTACTCATGCCCACTGATGGCAGACAACAGTGATAGCAGTTGTAGCTGAAAGGCAGAGGAAAAAGATTCAAAGCAGCTCACTTGCTTCTTGAGTATCAGTTGCATGAGGGAACAGGTTTGGACCACAATTTGTAGAGAAGGCTATTAACTAAACTTTGGTAACAGTCTTTTAATTACACTGTGTGCTTTCAGGTGTTACCTCCATACAAAAACACTTTCAAGAGCAAATCAGATTCTCATCACCTCCTCCTGAACACTAGCTTCAATCTGCCTACATTCCCATTCATGGTCCACACGGGGTCCCCGCAGAAAGCGCAAAGCGGCTATGGCTTCTGAGCGTTTGTTCTGATTCAGCAAAAATCTCGGTGTTTCAGGCATGAAGGACATGACCAACAGCATTATGCAGGATGGGAGAGAACACAGCATGGCCAGCCAGCGCCATTTTAGCGTTATTCCTGGGTGACAAAAAAAAGGAAGGAAAGAGGACTATGAACATCAATTAGTTGTACAAACAAATTAACATTTCCATTTTTCAGTGTAGTTCTTTCATTACACGTACTAATTCTTTTTTGTAAACTAGAGCCCTAACCCAATACCTGCAATGTAGGCTCCCAGTATGCCAGTTACCACCATCAACTGAACACAAGAGCCAAGCATACCACGGACTTTAGGATGAGACACTTCAGATATATACACCTAAAACAGGCAGAAAACATCTAATAATTACTTCTATCCAATTTTGCATCAAGGACTTGATAAATAAGTCATTTTTGAAAAGACAGGGATATATTTCCTTGTAACTCCCCTCCTTAAAAAAAACCTGAATAAAATGGAGTAGGAAAACTACCATCTCAGAAATGTATATCAGCATTATGAAAAAGTCTGGAAAAAAGGGAGGACCTAAAAGCCAGAAGAATGTTAATGCAGCATCACTATCCCAAAGGTGAATAAACTTGCATTAGTAAGAGCTCATTTTGTTAGCCATATTCAACAAGAAACACATCATTGCAAAGCACTCTTGCATAAACATGTAGCCCAAGCCACATATAAAACTGTTTGTGATTAAAGTTTTAAATTTTTAATTCAATGTAAAGAGTGAAAATTATTTCATTCTTCATGAAGTTCAAAACCGACAGCTTGTCTTAACACAGACTATATGAACAGCATCATACCTCATCCAATATCTGAGGCCAACTTGAACTTTTCAGCTATTTTTTTAATATATTGACCCCAAATCAAAAGCCACAGTTTAGCTGTACACATAAAAAAAAATCCCTCATGTTTATACATACAATTCTTTCTAAAGTCACAGTTCTTACTTTTTCTGGAAGTAAAATAATTAATCCTTATTTCAAGAATAATCTGAAGCTACAAAAACTTGGTATGACATATGAGACTCTCCTCCCTCACACAGATCTTTTACTGTGGGCTGTGAGTTAAGGCCTGTACGTATGGGAACTCAGAGCTCAGCTCAGTGAAATGAAGAGAGAGCAGTCGTTCGGAAACAGACAAAATTCCTCCAAAGACATTCACACAACAGAATAAGCAACCAAGCTTACAACAACAGAGAAATTTGCACAAGATTATCACTTAGACCCTACCCCTCTGAGTCTTTTCTAGATTTTTTTATAACCATCTAGACTGATAAAGAATGAGAATTTATTCCATACTTCATTACAAGTACTTCCCATCCTTTGATTTTTAGTTTGCATGTCACTTCAAAAGCTAAAAATGCTGGAACCACCAGAAAAGAAACAAACTTGAATTCTAGATGGTTTATTTCACACTACTATCTATCCCACTAGACCCAAAGGGGTCAAATAATACCAAAGGCAGACAACAACAGAATGAATTATCTCAATTTCCCTACTGCACATGTATTCCTGAATGCACAGGAAAAGTTAATATTCAGAAGAGAACAGTTAAATTGAATCAAAAGGCACTAGTTGGCATTAGTCCAGGATGGGTGAGCAGCCACAGTTTATTTGCAAAACCAAGAAGTTTGGTGAAATATAAGACTATTAGAAGCAGTTGGTAATGGGAAGGGGGGGGGAACCAACGCCCCTCTAATGTATATGAGGAATTTGAAGAGATAAATATTACTATAGTTGAATATAAACAGAAGCAAACAAATAAAAGACTAATAATCTGAAAGATCACATCACTGTATCAGGAACACATAGTACTGAAGTGCCACTAGAAGAAACAAAATTTGTTTTATTTATATTTTCTTCATAATTAAAACCAAGCAAAATATGATTCTATAAAAATCAGTTTCTTCTAAATCCAAAAACTGCCTTGGCTACAGTTACTCAGTTACTTCACCCACGCCACCTATAATACTGCTATGGAAAAAGAAACAAAAAAAACCCACAAACAAAAAAGCAACCACACATGCATACACACACACACAGAAAAATGTCTTACTTACTGGAACAACAAGTGAAGTAATTCCACTGGCTAAGCCTGTCAATATTCGTCCAAAATAAAGCATCCAAACACTCGGAGCAGATATAATAACTATATATCCAAAAACGTATGGCACTGAGCACAGCATTAGACTCAGCTTTCTCCCAACTTTATCCACAAGATAGCCTCCTAGTATTCCTCCGGCAGCAGCTCCTAATGTTACTACTGACTTCAAAAAGCAAATAAAAAAAATTATTATACATACATATAAGTAAATATAAATAACAGATGGCAACTTCTTTTAAAATCCTGGAAAGTACATAGCAGCTTCTTTAAAAATGTGCAAGAGTATGCAGGTGTTTTGAAAATCAAAATAAACATTAACTTCTTAATCAAAACAGAGTCAAGAAGCACAACTCACCACAACTGACCAGCAAGTAATTTTCATATTGCATACAAAGCTCTTTCAATGAAGAAAAAAAAAAAGCAGCAGTAACTGTTTCTTAATCTGTCTACAAAGCTGTAAACAGGCCTTTCAAACTGTTTTAAAGCCCTGAAGAATTTGTTATCTTTACTAACCTAAAGTCCAGCCTGTATCCACCGTGCAAATATTTCCCATGTTGATGGATGGCACTGATTTATTAAAAAGTTTAATAAGTTAGGTTCAACTGAGAAACATGAGAACGGTTAGAAGACACTTTAGCACCAAAAACAGGTTCAAATAATAGGGGCAGGTATTAATATATGCAGAGAGTTATCAGAGCATAGCAGCACTGTTACTCAGGAAAAATGTGAATCAATCACTGAGTTTAGGCAAAACTGGATTTCATTAAGATCTGCATTTACCCTCATTTTGAAGAGGAGCAAGCCCTCATCACATAAGCAGAATCTTCTTGAGTTTTGCTTTCAAGTGAAATCACATAATGGCAACGCACCACAGAGAGACCTACCCCAAACCACGAGGCCTGGTTGCTGTCCAGCCTTAATTGAGGATCGGCGATTTTCCTCAGCTCTGGAATGACAGGAGAGCTGTAGCCGAGCACGAAGCCGAAGCTCAGCGGTCCCAGGACAGCGGCGAAGGCGGCCAGGTACAGCTTCTTGTTCTGCGCTCTGAGGCAGAGGAG